AGCTCAATATCTGTGGAGATCTTCCCTCTTGGATTATTGTTTTCTGGGAACAATCTTGAGCTGTATTGGCTTCAGCGGCCGAAACGCCCAGTTAAACTGCAGCGGAATCTGAAGAGAAGAAATGGATTCACAATGAGGTGTGACAGCAGAGCAGCATGACAGTCTGAATGCAGTGCAGTGTTACACCTACTATGGTTTCCTTGCAGGTTTCCAAAGTGTAATTCTGAAGGACACGGACAATAACCATCTTCATGACGAGGATAGCGTAGCGCATCCCAACACAGTTACGAGGGCCCAGACCAAACGGCATGTATGCGTATTGGTTCACCTCCTCCCCGCTGTCTTTGTCAAACCTGCACACACAGATCAGGTTAACAGATAAAATCACAAAAACAACACATGGAGGGTAAAGTTACGCACACGTGGACAACAACTTTGTGTCGACAAAAGCTCGTTAAAAAGTTCACACAGCAAGAGTTTGAAATGTTGCATTCAGGAGCCACATCAGATGAAAGAACATCACATTTATAGCTGGGAATGTGCAGGCGCTCCACAAAGTATTTAAATCTATGTTGGACATTTTATAGAGGAGATGTGAGGGCAGATCACGGTTAGTTTTTGATTATTGGTATCAGCAAGAACCTAAGTTTAACCCCTCTTCTATGTCTGCTGTCATATGTGGTGTAAATTTGAATGGTTTACTTATTAAGCTCAGTCAATAATTAATTAAATGATAAAATAACTTCAGCGCAAAGCAGACACACGATACAGGCCGTAAAACCCAAGGAAGAACCATCTGATTTCCAACTTTCTGACAGTTCTTGAACAAACCATGTGTGACTTTCGGGTTCTTCTTTAACCAAATCTAAGCTTAAAATCGTGATATTTCATCAAATTTACTTTATTCTACTTTTATTTATTTATGTATTTATATGTTTATTCAGACGGGACACTGCGTATTAATGTACATACAATCTCAGGTTGTATTAAATACACCGGATTTAGCACAAGGCTACTTTCCATCCGGTGTCCCACATGTCTGATCTAAAAATGAACAGCTGGCATCAGATACTGTTAATTTAAATAAAAATCTGCATGTTTTAGCACAACAACAGATGTGTCTGGGATGTTAACTGATCTCAACTTTATTTAGTACATGTGCACAACCCAGAGGTCATGAAGCAGCACCGCAGACTTTACCATGGTGCCCCTTTACTAGAACATTTACCTCTCTGGCCTGAAAAGCTCAGGTGACCTCCAATAGCGTGGGTCCTTTTGCAGCAGGTGCACAGGAATCGCAACCATAGCTCCTTCAGGGATGGTGATGCCGTTGATCTCCACAGTTTTTTTGCATTTCCTCTCAAGCCGAGGCGCAGTGGGAAGCAAACGCATTGACTCAATAATAACCTGGTCCAGGTACTGAAGACCGTTCAGCTCCTCGTAGGAAATGGAAGCCTAGAGGCCAAAAAAATTTAGAAAAAGATAAGGACGGTGACAGCTACTGGGTAACACATCTCGTGCAGAGTTACTGTACATCTTTCTGCAGGCTGGCATCGATTTCTTCATGCAGCTTCTGCATCGCATCAGGGTTCGTGGCCAGATTGTAGAAGATGTAAGAGAGAGTGGTACTGGTGGTATCATAGCCACCGAAGATGAAGATGAAGGCCTGGGAGTGGATCTCGCGTTCGGTCAAACCTATGAAGAAAGCGACATCAACAATATTCAGTCACCAGATGAATTAACTTGTATTGTCAAGCCTTTTACCCTTCATGGTGTCGTGTTGTCATAAAGTCACATCGACATCCTGTCTGCTGAACAACGAGCTCATGCATTACTTCCAGACTGGACTATTGTAATTCCCCATTATCATATTATATCTTTGTGGGGGTTTTTTTTCCCACGTCCCAACAACCACGCGGGAGGAGCTCGGAGTAGAGCCGCTGCTCCTCCACATCGAAAGGAGCCAATTGAGGTGGCTCGGGCATCGCCTCCGGATGCCTCCTGGACGCCTCCCTGGGGAGGTGTTCCGGGCGCGTCCCACCGAGAGGAGGCCTCGGGGAAGACCCAGGACACGCTGGAGGGACTATGTCTCCCGACTGGCCTGGGAACGCCTTGGGATCCCCCTGGAAGAGCTGGNCCAGGTGAACCTGCCTTCACCCTGAGTCAGCTGGGATAGACTCCAGCCCCCCACGACCCTAGTGAGGATTAAGTGGTGTATAGATGATGGATGGATGGATGGAGATGGTTCAGATAGTACAGTCACCTTGCATAATTATATTCTAGAGTGAAACTAAAATTTGCTCCACCACAATCAAGAATGACATTCTGCTTACAGACTGATGCATCAGTGATCTGATAATCTGCAGAACAAATACGTTTATTGTTACTGCTTTACATGCATTTTGTCTACGTGTCATGTACTTTCACTTGATTTTCCTCCATCACTCATGATGAAAACAGCAAAGCAACAACAAGACCTTACAGTATTCTAGTAGAGACAGAAATCTAATGATTCTCTCTGAGCAAGCACTTAGTATGCAACCATAAATTTAAATTACCTCCAACACAGTGAGATAAAACAGCAAAATCCTGCTTACACATTGATGCATTTGCAATCTAATCATCTGCAGAATAAACACTTTTCCACTGTTTTACTCACCCCCAGACGTCTCCATACTTGGCCTGGCACTCCCGGTCAAAAGCGTGTATTCCCTACAAGAAACGTGTTTTATTGTTAAAAGGCTGAAGAACAGGTAGAGTCAAATAGGTCAGGCAGGTTACTGACTCTGATTAATCATGTTTTTATGCACACCTTTCTGCTGTTATGCATTGTTCCAATAAACGGCAGCGGTCTCGGTCCTTTTATTCCCAGCTTTGAGAAAAGCCTGTATGGCCAAACTCCATACCTGTTTTCCAATAAAGAGAGAGTTACAGATCAACATTACATCTGTGTAATGAACAGTTTATACTACAGTGGGACAGTGAAAAGAAAATGACCAAGTAGTGCTTTGACAGTTTACAGAAACAGATACTCACAGTAACACCAGGGCAAAAAGGAGAGCCAGTAAAGTCCATGTTGTTGCTGAAAACAAGTCGAAAAACATCTTGGCTTTGCTGCTACAGAGCCGGACAACAAACACTCGAGAAACGAGGAAGCGTCCTTATATGCTCCCTGCAGTAGGAGGAGTCCACAGACTGAACTTCAGTCACGAGTTCTGCTTATGTAATGCTAAACGGGCCAGAGGTGGCTGGTCAGTACTTTCCACATTGTTTTTTTCATTTCACATGTAAAACATTCAAATCACCAAAAATAGTTCAAATATCACATATCTTATGAAATGCTCATTTGTGCACCACTTGTGTGAGCTATAAATGCAGAGC